TTTGAAGAATTTCTGACTGCAAAAGGAGATTCGCACAGCTTTTCAGCCCCTTATACTCAACAACAAAATGGAGTTGTTGAAAGGCGGAACTAGTCCTTATGTGAAGCTACGAGAACCATGCTCTTGTTTGTGAATCTGCCACTTTATTTCTGGGCTACTGCAATCGGGACAACTTGTTTCACACAAAATCACTCCATTCTCAACAATCGATTCTCAGTCATTTCCTATGAAATATTAAACAAACACAAACCCAACGTTAGGTTTTTCCATGTTTTTGGTTCTCGTTCCTTCATTTTCAATTCTATGGACCAGATAAACAAATTCGATTTGAAGGATGATGAGGGTATTTTCTTGCGATATTCGGTGACCTCTAAGGCATATAGGGTTCTTAATAGGAAGTGCAAAAAGATTGAATAAACCTATTATGTTAAATTTGATGATAATTATCTAAAGAGGTATCATCTCACTACGAATCAATCAGAGGAGATCTTCCTACAAACGAATCAAGCAACCGTTCCACTGCCCAATCTCTATGAAGAATTCATGCTATTATTCGACGAGCCAGCGAAAGCAATATCATCAAAGTCCAAAGCAGCATACAACAAAGAGGACGAATTAAAGAAAATAATAATGAAGTTCTAAAAGAAATTGAAAGCGAACCTCAAAGTATGAAAGAACAAATAGGAAACACTCCATTCCAGGGGGAGGGTTCATCATCAACTTCTACACCTGACTCACCTCTCCAGGGTGAGAATTCTTCTCCTCGTATGACTCATGAATGTCCTATTGAGGTGGAGGATCTAAATCCAGACATGGGGAATCTCTCATCATTCGAGGGGGATAATAACAATACGAATGATGATTCGGATGCACAATCTGAATTTGAAGAGGTGAATGTTGAACTGGATCCATCTTATGATCCAAATTACCCTCCACTAACTAAATGGACCAGAGATCATCCAAAACACAATTAACTGGTGAATCATCTGCAGGAGTTCTTACAAGATCTAAAAAAATAAGCGAAATAGACTGCACTATTCTCTATATTGGAATTTTTCATGTTTAATTCATTTGTATCCAAAATTGAACCCAAAACTATGAATGTTGCTCTTGATCACTCTGATTGCATATAAGCAATGCAAGATGAGCTCAGTGAGTTCAAAAGGAACAGGGCGTAGAGATTAATTCCCATTCCAATTGATACATCTGTTGTTGGTCTTAAATGGGTGTTTCGTAACAAGTTGGAAAAAAGATGGGAACGTGATCAGAAACAAAGCGAGACTTATTGTCAAGGGATATTATCAGGAAAAGGCATTGAATGTGAAGAGAGCTTTACACCGGTTGCAAGGTTGGAATCTGTTTGCATCTTTTTGGCATATGTAGCACACAAAAACTTCAAAGTAATTCAAATGGATGTTAAATGTGCATTATTGAATGGAGAACTAGAAGAGACAGTGTATGTGGATCAACCACCTCACTTCATAAATGAGAAGTATCATAATCATTGTTACATCCTAGACAAAGTAGTTTATGGTCTGAAGCAAGCTCCAAGAGCCTGGTACGAAACTCTCAACCGTTTCTTAAAAATGTCTAAATTTAAACAAGGTTCGGTTGACCCAACCTTTTTTCGTAAGAAAGAGGGTGACCACTTAATGATCATCCAAATTTAAGTTGATGACATTATCTTTGGATCAAATGATCCCAACTTAACAGTTGAATTCCATAAGCTAATGAAAATGATATTTGAGGTGAGTTCAATGGGTCCATTTAACTTTTTCCTTGGATTGAACATAAGACAAAGCCAGGAAGGTATTTTTATAAATCAGGAAGCATATAAGAAGACCTTGCTCACTAAGTTTGGGATGTTAGGAGACAAAACTTACTCCATCTCTAGACAAACCGGTTGCAGACATGACACTCTATCGTCAAATGATAGGTACTTTAATGTACTTAATTGCGAGTTGACCAGATATTATGTTTTCCGTTTGTTATTGTGTTAGGTTCCAAGCGAATCCTTGAGAACCACACATGATCGCCATCAAAAACATATTCTGGTATCTAAAACGAACATCTTTACATGGAATATGTTATTCGTCGAGGTCCGGATTCTTGGTACAAGCATTTTCGGATGCTGATCTTGGAGGTTGTGGGTTAGATAGAAAAAGTACTACCGTAGGATTCCAATTCTTTGATGGCAAGCTCGTAAGTTGGCAGTAAAAAAAGAAAACTTGTATATCCTTCTTAACTGCTGAAGCAGAATACATAGCTGCAGTCTCATGTACTTCACAAGTTATTTGCATTCAAAGCCAACTCCGCAAGTATGGTCCTAATATGAACTGAATCCCCTTATACTATGACTCCAAAAGTGCCATTCACATTTGTAACAACCCAGTGCAACACTCAAAGACGAAACACATAGCACTAAGGTATCATTTTATCAAGGATCATGTGGAAGATGACAATGTAGAGATACATTTCATAAAATCCACTGATCTGTTCCAAAACCACTTTCACATTCATAAAGTTCTCACTGTGAATTGGTGCGACACTCACGGAGATTTGCAGTCTACTTTGACACTACAAATCGGTGTGAATGCTTGCAGTGATTCGTAGTCCACTGTTCATTCCTGGTTTGGATCTTCTTGTATCCTTTTGTATATTATGTACATTATTTTCTATCCTTGTTTCATTTTTGAATATCTTTCTATTTTTATTTCTTTTTCAGAAAATTAAAAATTTTCAAAAATATTTTAATTTCTTTCTTTTTCGGAAAAACAAAAATACAAACATATTTTTCTTTGTGTTTAATTTTATTTCTCGTAGTTTCACAAAAATTATAAAATACTAAAAATAATAGATCATTGAGAAGCTTGTAAAGGCACACATTCATAGTTATTCTCAATAAGATGGGGCAGGTATAAATCTCTTTACCTATGTACTAGCTAAGTGTCCCTAAAAGTATGTTGTTGCATGTTGGCTGAAGCCTCGACGACTCTATGTTGAATCCATAATGATTCGATTATACCAATCGTTTCATCCCAATCAGGCTATTAAATTAACATAGGTCATGAGCTACCTTACTCTTCTCAATTGGAGTTAAGAGTTATCTACTTGGTCACTTTCGTATAGCAGAGGTACATTTGCTTCTTTGAACCACCTTCACATTTCTCCATCACTTTCGTTTTCATGAATGTAACCCTTGAGACTCTCAACAATTTATCACTGAGGTTTACGGTTACACAACATCCGTGTAATGATCTTAGTTTCTTTTAAGCACGAAGTGAGTGAAACCCAAATTCCAACACACTTTAATGAATTGACGGTAAATAATTAAACATAGATTTTCACCAAGGAATTAACGAAATCCACTTTCGTCATCTATACCAAGAAATCTCTTTTTCTTTTTTGAGATCTTTATGAAGTGTTCTAGTCCCAAGATATTTGTTCCTATAAGGTCCAGTTTTTTTTTTTTTTTTTTTTTTGATATTTCTACATTTTCCAGAGTCACTGAAACAATTCCAAAGCTACTTGTTATTATGACTACACTGGTCAGGCATGTACTTCATCCAACTTTCGTACTTATATCAAGTTTTGGAGTTTGGTTGAAGATGAAACCGCCCTTAAAGCCTAACAAAAGATACCTTTCAATGTTTCTTATCAAAAAATTGATCGTATTTCAATGGGAAACCATCCAGACACTTCTTACTCTCACTTGACTATGAAGGAAGAGATCTATGCCCTGGATCCAAAAATTCCATGTCTTATTAGACATCACTGGACTGCCTTAGAATTTATCTCTTTATTTCTTTATCTTTGACACACTCTTGCAAGAAGATCCAAGTGATTTTCCAAAAGTCTGGTTTGTAGCTTTATGAATACTTTCAGTTTCACAGGTCAATCACAATGCGAAAGTTCCAGTGTCACTGCGAAAGTCTTACAATTGCAATGGCTGCGAAAGGGTGGATTTGAAATGACTATTGTAAAAGGATAATATTTGATTTGGGTACGTGATGATTTGAATGGATGCCTACTTTACTGCCGCCTGAAACACGTCTCTGACGTCACAGATGTAAGTCATGCTTTTCCAAGCGCCTTTTCAATAACTGATACACTCTCTTTCTCCAGATTTCTCTCACCAAACAAATGGTATAAATTGTTTTGGCACTTCATCTCTCCTCACCACTCACATATTCTCTCGAATATTTCCAGCGATCAAAGGAATCTATTGTTCATCTTCTTTCTCAAGAAATCAATAATGGCAGGATCCTATGAAACTCCATCTCCTCACGATCAAATAGCACAATCATCTCTTCTTCCTATCAAGACAAATCAAAATCTAGTGCTCGATCTTGATTCGTTCAAATACAATAGCTATCTTCTTCCAATCGTTGAATGTTTGAAGTACTCTCCACTTGTTACTGCTCTGACAAAGATGGAGAATGTTACGATGTCTCTTTTGGCCAAGGCTTATTTGTCTGCAAGTTACATCAAGGAAGAACATAGGATCATGTTTGAAATCCACAACAGATGAACTTCAATCACCAAATCTCGATTCTATTCTATTTTAGGGCTTCCTCAAACCAACGACATGATTAATACAGAATCGATCACCAACATAGCCCTATTGGAGATGTTCTATCAAATGGGGTACCAAGAAACCCTAAATGCCATCTCAAAGTTTCGGAAACCTAATTTACCACCACAGTGGAATGGTCTCTTCACCCTATTGTTTAAGGTCTTCTCTAAGAGAGTCACTAGCTCCGATTGTGCAAGGAAGCTTTTTATGGCGATTATCTATGGGGTACACCGGGCTCAATGTCGATTTTGGGGATGTTCTCTGGGATCAAGTCATTCAGAGCACTCACTTGACTTCCCATCATAGTGAAATCTCATGTGCACGATTCTGGATAGCCATTGTTTAGAGACCAATCGAGAAGCTTCTTGTTCCGGTGATGCAGGAGGCATTAGTGGCTACTATTTCAACTTTTCACACTACTGGGATGATTCTTGTTGACAACTCAAAATTCTCATTTGTGGGTTCGATTCTAGACGCAATGTTTCGTGATGTGCCTGTAGCAAGAAATATTCTTGAAGCCTACCAGAAACTTCCTGTTTCAAGGTTTCGTCCCTTAACTCCAGAGATGCAATCCATTATTGTTGAAGCATACAAGCCCAAGAAAAGGGGTCAGAAATGGGGTAAAAAAAGGGAAGTCAAATGGTGCTCAAGAGGGCCCAACTGCTCAAACTCAAACCCCAAAGAAACAAAAAGGTCAGATTGATCTACCTGCACCAAAGAAGCAAAAGGTCAAGAAGTCGGCTCGCAAGCCCATGTCCCCAGCTCGGACTGAAAGCAAACATTCGCAGTCTAAGACTCAATCAAATGTTCACCTTGAGGAGGATGAGCCTATTAATAATGAAGATGTTACATCGAATCCAAAGGTAACTCTAACTTATAATGATTTATTTCCATCTCCTTATCATTCACCCAATACCACCACCACACCAATAACTACTACTCCACCAACAACATCAGTTGCACCTCCTGTTTCTGTCCACGTATATGATGTATGGGTAGGAGCTTCAGGATTTACAACTGAGCATATCTCACCATCTATTTCCCCATTTTGCCAAAATGACCCAGATATGATTTATGGTGATGACGAGGTAGACTTCACAGGATTCACCTTCAGTCCATTCAACATCAGGACTGAAAGTCATGACAAAGCTCCTATCACAAGGGGAAAACTAAAGTCCATGCATGAAAAACTTGACTCATTGCTTCATGCTTCAAATCCTTCATCAAATGATGATTATTCTCAAGCTACATTCAAGTCCCTCCTTGAGACACTCACCAAAGAGCACTCAACAAATCTTGAGAATACGAACAATGCATTGGATGCCTCTGCTACTCTCTACAATAATAAGACCGAAAAAGTTGTTAAACTAATTTTGATGCCACAGATTTCATGGATAACTTCCAAACCTCCTTTGAGTCCAACAAAGCAAAAGCTAACGAAGTCATCTCCAATCTTGGCTCCTCTCTTAAAGCTGAAAGGGAGAAATTTCAAGAAGTTCATATTGGCATTAAAACTGACCATTATGGGTTTAAATCATCCATCACCTTACAAATATCCAAGCATCAAAATGACCTCACAATGGAGAGTAAGATAATGGATACCCTTGTGGTCAAAACCGAAAAATTGAAAGTTATAATTGTTAAACTTGATGCTGCTGAGAAACAAGTCAAGGATTTGTTATCTGAGAGAGCAGTTATGAAAAGTTATATCACATATGTTAGAGGCTTGCTCTCGGATATCATTGAGACTAGGAACTCCATAAAAGCTCAGGCCAGTCTTTGTGATGTTTCATCGACTAGAGGGTGTTCCGAAATCAAGTAGCATTCTAAAACAAGGGGGAGATCAACCCAAGAAGACTTTATCCAAGCCAACCATCAAAAGCGAATCTGAGCCTAAAGGCAAAGAAAAGCTTTTCTCGGAAGAACCAATCATTGATAACAATGAGGGTGAAGAGCTTGATGAAGATGAAATAAAAAAATAAAGGCTAGTAAAGTAGAATTGGATGAACATCAAAGGATTGTTCGAGATGTTGAAGCAAAAGAAAAGGAAGAGAAAGAAGCTCAAGTCACACTTGAAAGCTAAAAGCTCTTATTTCCTGTATGGACGCTACAACGAATTCAGAACCAAGGAATGGACTTACCAAGTCAATGTTGGCTATAACTAGTTGTGTCATTCGATATTCAGAATACATAAGACTCCCAATTGGATCTTCCAATTACTCCTATCCTCTTCAAGTTTCGCTCTTTTGTAAAAGTTGTGAATGTCCCATCCACTGATAACGGTACTGACCAACTACTATTCTTGTTCTATCTCAAGCGTATGAAGCCACAATATGAAACATGGAGTGGTTCCAAGATTATTGTAGTGAAGGTCACTGGTCCTATTGAAACCGAAAGCTTCTCGAATGCAAAGTTTAAGGTGGTGAGAGGTTCGGCTAGTCAGGTTCACGGATTCACTCTCGTGGACCTGCCTTGTCTCAACCCATATGAATGGATCATGCTTTACAACTTACTGCTGAGAGATGAACAAAAGTATGAGCCCGTTACTGCTTACCTCATGTTGATAATTGTTTTGTATATTCAAGAGGTGGGAAAATGAATGTGGAGATAGTTGTTGTGCCGCGAAAGAATCCCTCTGTTGTCCCCAAAGAATTTCTGGAAGGAAATGGGAAGTTGAATCTAGGGAAAATTTACAAAGAAGGTATGTATGTTGTATTTCAAGAGATAAAACGAAACAATGCAGACTTTCACAAAGCATATTTCTTCCTCCCGTATAAACATTTATACACTACTTCCTGTCTTGAATATTTTTTGGACCTGGTCAACAAATTCAAGGGCAACAACAAGAGTGACAAAAAGTTCTTCTCATACATGATTCAATGGTACATCTAGGTTCGCAAGGCAGTGCTAAGCGTAATGCCAAAAGTTTTTGAAGTTCAGAAGCGAACTCAGCCTTGATGAACTCTCGCTCAATTGATGCAAAGGGGGAGATTGTTAAGATTATTATGTTGCCTCATTGGGCCATTTAGTTTGCTTATTTTCTAAGTGGGTTGGGCCTGTCCACCCGTATTTTATTTCTAGGGTTATAGTATTTAAGGTGCATGCATGCATCATATTTTTGTAACTTTGATAATATTCTTGTAACCCTAATCACGCCTCTACAATAGCATTTCTTAATCGAGTTCTTTTGAGGTTGTGACTTTTAAATCATTCAGTATATTTTGATTCACTGTCGTGTTCTTGCTTTAATCTATTTTGAATCTTATCGATCTTTCAAGGATTATTATCCTATCAGTATTGTCACTGATCCCACTAAGTTTAATTTCATTGGTTTAATTCCCAAAGCCATGATCTTGAATGTTCCTGGTCATAATGTTGTGGTAAATGAATACCGAAAGAAACCTACTTCCGGTGTTCTTCCTATGCCTGAAGATTTATGAAAGGAACTTGAAGTGGGGAACAAGCCTAAAGAGGGAGGCAAAAGAAAAGTTAAGGCAGGTCCTTCCGAACCTGTCGCAACCCCAAAAAAGAAAGTAAAGAAGCCTGCTCGAAAGCCTAGGTCTCCGACTCCAATTCAAAAAGCTTCCAAATCTCGCACTCATTCGGATTTACGAGAGCGAGACGCAGCTCAGAATAAAACAGAAGATACAACAACTAACTCTAAACCATTAGCCTCGGAACCAATCCCTCATGCTTCTACTACGAAATTATCTTCTCCTATCACTACAACTATGCCTTTTACAGAATCTTTCCAGATGCCCACACCACCTTCATCTCCGCCCAACACTTCATCTCCGCCTACTGCTTATGTCCTGATTACAATTGCTCCATTTCTGAATGTTTCTCTCGGACTTTCATAACCTCAGGTTTCAGTTCCTCTCTCTACTCCATTATATACTGATTTCACTACTTCACCAACTTCCACCTTTTTCACTACTCCATTTTCAACTTTCAACGTATCTGATATGGGGGAATTCAATTTTGGTTCTTCTGCTAGTCTAAATACTCCCACCACATCCCCATTACGGGAAGATAATTCGGGTGTTATGCATGCAGATGATCAAGAAAATCTTCAGAATTTTGTCTTCAGTTCATTTAAAGTGCATCAGAAGAGTGACGATGATGACGATGCTACAATTACAAAGTGGTAGTTTAAGGCGTTAAATGCAAAGTTGGATGAGATTTTGGAATCCACCAAGTCTTTTTCCAGTAATGAATATCTGCTCTCCTCTCATAAAGCATTGAGCAAAACATTAACCAAGGAGCATGCCAAAACCCTTGTAGAATCTGCGAAATCTGTTGAAAAGTCTAAGAAAACACTTTACAAAATGACCGTAAAATCCAACAAAAATTATTCTCTAATGTTACGAAATTCATGGAAGATTTCCGAGCCTCTTCAGATTGAAATATTGAAGCTTCAAACAAAGCCACCTAATGTCTCATAAATTGTCTTTAACAAGAGAAAGAAACTCTATCCCAGGTTCGTGCTGATCTTCGAGTTGATAATGTTGATATGAGTGCATTTGTTGTCTCCAAGATTGAGAAGCTACAGGAGGATCTTGTTATCGAAAACAAAATCATGTATCAGCTTGCTCAGAAAATCAAAAAAGTCAAGGTTACATCCATCAAACTCAACTATACGAACCGTCAACTTGATGATCTGGAAAATGAATGTATGACAGTCAAAAGTTGCATTTTCGATGTCAATTAATTTCTACGAGATCTTGTTGACACTAGTGATTCTATCCTCACTGTTTCTGTTTGCCAACACCTCATAGATAAACTTCAACCTATTTTTTCCATTTTAAACCAAATTAAAGGTGTTTCGAGGAGTACTATTCTTCCGAAACAAAAGGAGAACAACCTGATAAATCCAAATCTTATCAAGAAGAACCCGCAAAGAAAACAACTAATGAACGTCTTGGAGAAAATATGAAAGCTCACCAGAAAGATAATGAAGCTTCAGCATCAAAGGGCAAAGAAAAGGTGTTTAATGATGATGATGATGAGGAATAAGAACTCTCAGAAGGAGAAAAGATAGTTAGAAAGAAAAGAGATAAACAGCTCGATGATCTGTTGCGAGTTACAAGGGAGTTAGATGTGAAATAAGCTACAGAGCAAGATGCGAAAGTAAATATTGAATCTCAAAAGTTAACCTTTCCTCCTTTGTCACTTGAGCGACTTCAAAAGAAAGCAATAGATGATCAAACTACAAGTTGGTTGGAGCCTACAATGTCTTTAGATCTGGATAACACTTCCAATTCACAATTAGATCTTCGTATCACTCCAAGAGATTTCTTATTTAGATGCTATGAAAGAATTGAGAAGGTACCACTCTTGGATTATGATGTCAATCACTCACCATTCTCTTTTTACCTCAAACATGGCAAGCCTCAGTATCTCTCATGGACGTTAAGAAGATGGTCGTAGTGATTGTGTATGCACCAGTTCAGATTGAGTATTATATAAACATTCGGTTCAAAGGTGTTCGATGAGCGTCTTGTTTCGAAGATGAATTTACTCTTGTGGATCTACCCTGCATGAATCCAAATGAATGGATCTCATTGCTTCTGATTTTGCTGAAAGATGAACAAAATTTTGAACCTATTATTGCTCATCTGAAGAGAATGATTATGTGCTATATCTACGAAGTTGCTGCTAAGTTAGATGTATAAATTGCATTTGTTCTGAAGCTAAACCCCCTTCAGGAGCTTCAGGATGAAAAAAAAGGATTTGACCAAGAGGAAGATTTGTAAGATTCGGAAAGAAAACTAGAGCTTTGTATTCCAAAGAAAAGAAGGTCAATAAACTCTGAAGAAGTGATTTCGCTTTCAAAGGCATTTCTCCGAGTGATCTGAAATGTTTTATAGACATGATAAAATGGTATCTTATTGTGTATGGTTCACTTTTGAAGATTATGTCATAGCTCTTCAAAGTTTAGAAATATTAACAACAATGAAGAATTTCCTCTCCTTATTTAAAACAAAGGGGGATATTGTTGGGTTATTTAAATGTGTTTTGTCAAGTTTACTACGTATGTATTTATTTTGTATTAATTGGATTGGGCCTGCCCATCCGCATTTATCTAGCTAGGGTTAGACTATAAATAGTGCATGCATTTACTTTTTTAGGGATAATGAGTTGTGTTGCCCTACGTAGTCTTTACACAGGATTTCTTGTTGACCTCTTCTAAGGCTATTGAATCTAAACATTCAGCACCATTTTGATCTTCATTGTTCTTGTTGTTTTGTTGACTGCACTTGTTAGAATCTATCAATCTATTCTTTATTATTTCAACAGTGATGTTAACAAACCCTGAAGCATTCCAAATATGAGCTGAGGGCCAGGTGGGGCATGCTAAACTCATATTAAGGGCTCACATGCATTCCAAATACGAGTTGAGGATCGGGTAGTATGCCAGACTTGTACTGAGGGCTTAAGGGTATTGGAGCATTCAGAATATGAGCTGAGGGTAAGCTGGGGAATGCTAGAATCATATTGAGGGCTCATTATCATTCTAGGTATCAGTTGAGTGTCGGGTGGGGCATGCCAGACTTATAGTGAGGGTTCAATAGCATTCAAAATACGAGCTGAGGACCGGTTGGTATGTTAGAATTGTATTGGCGGTCGAACATTTTTATTAGAATCTGATGACGGATTAGACTAGGGAGCAAGCCAAACATAGGTCATGGGCCCGAGGGCAACTCAAACTTACGATGTGGGCTCAGGAGCAAGTGTGGGCCCGATAGGCAAGCGACACTCATATTGTGGGGTCAGGGTAATCTAGTCTTTTAGTTGCGGACCCAATAAATGTTGTTATTTGATTATATTATTTATTTGTTTGTCGGTATTTTGGGGGCACTCACTAGGGTTCATGTTTACAGTTTCATTCTATTGTTCCAGGTGCTTCAGATGATTGTGGCAACACGAAGGCATGACTATACATATCCTTGGTTTTACTAACGATTGGATCTTGGGAGACTCTGATTTTAAATAATGTTTTGTAAACAATGATTTTCTAAACACATTTATTAGTAACTTGGATGTCTTTAAAAGTTTAAAAATTTTTCCTAAAATTTTTGGGATGTCACACATCATATGAAGAAGTTATAATTGTTCGAAGTTTTGCGTTCAACTCTATACAGCAAGGTACGTCATAAAATATGAATCGAAGATAGTTTTCTTATTTTCCTAAGTAACTAAATGAAAGTCATAGTGATCATAAAAGCAAGAACATACATATAAAGAACACCAAAATCTAACTTCGTATGAGAAAGTTATGATTTTTCGAAGTTTTCGGTACAGTAGTGTGCAACACAGAAATCCAAATTAAAATTGGTTGAGTGTTAGCCAAAATAATATAAACAAGATTTGTAGATCTCATAAATAGAAATCCTTCGATCTAAAGACATTCGAGAACGAAGTTCATATGAAGGAATTATGATTTTTGCATAGATTTTAATAGTCAAAGCTTTATAAAATATGAATTTAAAATGGAGTGATAATTATCTATTCATACCTAAAGAAAATTTAAAGTTTTCCTCGAGAGGATTCTGTGGGTATAAATAACGTCGAACACGGAGCGCATATGCAAAACTT